ACGCGGCAGCCTGACGGCGCGCGGCGGCACCGGCCAGTGGGCGGGCCAGTGGAAAGGCCAGGCCGGCCAGCCGGCCGAGGCGCAGGCCGCCAGAGGCTGGCCGATCGATGCGGACGAGTTGGACGCCTTCCTGGCGGAGCACGAGCACCTGCTGGACGGCCTGAACGAGGGCGAACTGGCCGAGGAGGTGCATGGCGCCCTGCTCGACGAGATCGCCGACCTGGCCGACCCGTCGGCCGACGCGATCACCGGCCTCATCAACGAGCTCTTCTGCCGGCACGGCGCGACCGAGCACCCGTCGCGGCCCGAACTCACGCGACTGGTGCTACAGTTCTGCCGACTCTCGCCGCTGCCGGCGCTCGTCGAACACGCGACACGAACGGTCGCGGCGCCCACGCCCGTCGCGAAGGCTGCCGACAGCCCTCGCGACGTGTCGCCCCGCCCGGCCGACTCGCTGCTTAACACGGCCGAGCTCAACGAGGCGGCCGTCATTCGGAAGCGCCATTTCGCCTTGTCGCGTCTGCTCGAGGTGAACAGCAGGCGGCTTCGTCTGCCCAGACCGGGCGAGACCTTGCATCGGGCCGTCTTCGGCCAGTTGATCGAGCTGATCTCGCTGCGCGCCGACTGGAGCGCTGCCGCCCTGTTGGACATGGTCCTGGAGACCTACAGCCAACAGGACGCCAACTCGCACCTGTCGAAAAGACCACTCGCTCTCTTCCTTGCCAACCGCGTGTGTCGCCTGGACGAGGCGGCCGCGCAACGTGAACTCGACCAGGCCGTGACACGAGCCGTTGCCCGCGAGGCCCAGGGCACGCCGGAAGGGAATGCCGCGAATAAAGAGCCAAAGGACGATCTGCCCTTCAACAAGGCCGTGCTACAGAAGAAGCTGCGTTTCGAGGTAACCCAGTTGAATCTGCCCTCAGCCGGACACCTGATCGACGAGATCCGAGGTCCCGGACTGGTGGACAAACTGGCCGGACTGAAAGAGCTGACACGAGCTAGTGTCGCAGCGCTGGTTGATAAGCTATATGCGGAAAACGGGCTCATTAACCATCCGTCGCGCGCCAACCTGATAAACTATTTATGCGATTTTCTCAAGCTGCCCTCGGCCGAGGAATCAGAAAGGGTCAAAAAAGAGAAGGAGAAGATGATCATGGAGATTTGTGACAGCTTTCAGACGAGGAGCCAGCCTCTACAAGCCACACCAAGCGTTCGCTACAATATATCAGCATGTACACGAGACGAACTGGTGGCCCAACTTACCTTCGAGCCAGTGGTGAACCGCGGCCTCTGCAAGAACTACTCAAACGACCAGATGCTCTATCGCATCATCCACAAACTGGAGAACCATTTTGACAACGAACATGACATCAGCGACGAAATGATCCGTAAAGACCTCCTCTTAGCCTATGCAGAATTATACGAGAACCCACTGGATCGAGAGCTGCGAGAGGATATCATTCAGCTTATCAAAAAGAAGATTCTTCCATGGTTAGAGGAACATCAATGGGAGAAA